TGGCCACGTCTAGGGTGTAGGCTCGAGTCGTGACACTCACCCTTGAAATCCGATCTCGATCACTACTCTACAAGCTGAGGTCTATCAGTAGCCGCCTGGAGATGCCCTATACTCAACAAAGAAAGAGCAAGTGTCGTATTAGTACACAACCACAGTGTACTTGTTGGATCACGCGGTTATTCCAGTAAGCAAAACATATACCAGTAATCACAACAAGGTAAACATGACATGCACAAAATGTAACACATACACCTATTATTAATCATGAACAACTTACAATTCCACATTCTCTTTAACAAGTAGTTAGGACAATTCATTGGTCCTCTCATGGAACCCATACCCAAACTGTTAGTGTAACAGAACGTGGTAACAGATCCCAATTAGTGTGTCGGATGTGACACCTGATCCTATATATGGTCTGGAACGTGGAACCCGATCCAAGTGAGTGTGTCGGAACGTGATACCCGATCAATTCAACAGAACCACAATCACAATTACACTCATATGTACATTCTCAAAATCATACAATCAAGTGTTGAATCATGACATACATTTAATCATTTGTACTCATTTCATTAGGTTTGATCACAATGCTTCATTCACGTACATAGATGAATCACAATAAAGTAATCACCAACATATATAACGCAGACAAGAAATCAAACCATCACCTACCTCGAACCCAAGCTTGAATCCTCCTAAGAAACTTGATTCTTCCCTTTCTGGATTCTTTTCGCTTATTTTTAGTCTAAAAACAACAATTTAATGCAAGGATCAATAAACGATGCCTAATTACCCGCATTACAATCGAAATCATCAACCCTAGGCAAAACTTATGATCTTAAGGTACAACTAGGGATTTTTCCCACCATTAACTTCTGATCAAAACCATCCCCCAATAATAATTACCTAAGAATCTAAGTTCTACTGATCGAAAAATGGACTAGGGGAGAAAAACCTTACTATCATACCCCAAGCCTACACCGTGAACTGGACTGGCACTCGAGAACCATTTCAGACCCCGAGCGAACCCTTGGCTGGGCTAGACTCTCAGCGGAAGATTCTAAGCATTATTACAAAGATCAAATGCAGTTAGAAAAACAACAGTCTCAAATTTAAACTCAAAACTTGTAATGATAAATCATTCAACTAGACATAAATGGCAACTCAAGGCTTAACATAAGAAATAACAATGTAAAGAAAATTGAACTACTAACTATCTATGACGCCTCTAAAATAAGGAGCGATGTCGGTATAAGACCCCCGATCATCCTAACAACTAAATTACTAAAGCAATGTAAAAGGAGTCCTTCGGAAATCATGGAGGCTCACCAACTAACTCTGAGTACTCAATTGGATCAACGAGGCACTGGATGTTGATCTTGGTTACCTGTGTCTGCATCATAAAATGATGCAGACCAAATGGCATCAGTACATTGAATGTACGAGTAAGCGAGGGGAAAACTAAACATAACATAAACTTGAAAGGAATAAGAAAGGAACACTTACCTTGGCTTTACTCAACTCGTGAAAACCTCAATTCAAATTAAGTGTAAAACAACAATAATGGTGCAATTTATACAAAGCATTTAGAATAGTACGTAGCAACTCAATTTGTTAAAGAAAAGCAATAATAACTCAGTGTACATATACAGTAATATAATACTATGGTAGTTTCTCTAACCGACAACTACCACTATGAGCCTAAGTGGTGATACAACGTCTTACCGATGCTGCCAGAACTGTCCTATACTTTGCCGTCATATAGAACGCCTTAACTAAGTGGATTCACTAGTCTATGCTAAAAAGCACTAAGGAATCATCTAAAAACTATGATCATTTTCTACCCATGATGGCTACTTGGATTATGGAGACTTGAGTTGTTATGAACTCGTGTCCCCATATCGGTGCTCAATATTACTCCCAAAATATACTCATGTCATATGTTTTTAAAACAAAACTCTTTCTTTGGTTTGAGATAATTACTAAAAACTTATCTCAAAAACTCTCTTGGAAAATGGTATTTCCCTTCTTTCTCAAATGTGAAAACATTTAACTCTTGGGAATACTTAGTTCCCGTAGAATCTTTGAAGAAATGAACTTTACTCTTTACTCCACTCAAAGCTTAAGTCTTCAAACAAAGATGAAACGTTTGTGAAAGACTTTTGGAAAAAAATTCTATGAACTTCTCTTGACTTGACTCTTAACTTTCCTTTAGTTGAATTTATGGATTCAAGGATTGTGTTTTGTGATAGGAAATATCTCATGATGTTTAGGAGTGTTTTTAGATAGTTAAACATGAGAAACGATCAAGAAATCACTATCTTGGAAACAAGTCCGCGATGCAGAGATGCATTTAAATATTTGATCGCAAAATTTATTTTTTGAAACAGAGGAGTCCGCGTCTTGTCCGTGACGCAGAGGTGATTTTTGTGCACTGGGGGAGCAAGTTCGCGACGCAGACTTGCGTGCCTAAACCTGCTCGACTTTTTGCTTCTTCATTTTCTTACCCCAATTCGCCTAAACCCAATTCTTTTTCTCAATCCCTCTTTAGATTCAAATACCCATTATATATACACAAGAATCTAATTCAAAACAACTCTCAAATCGACACGATTCCATCAAGAACTCCACAATCACATCAAATCTCAGGAACTTAAGCAAACTTCAAGAACATAATTCAAGAACATCATACTTTCAACTTTGTAGAAACGAATTTCGCTTAAACAAACATGATTGGAGCATGGGTGAGTGAACCCAATGCTATGGAAGTCTCACATACCTTGTAGGATTGAATCCTTGGCGAATTCCACGACCAAAATCGCATGAACTTGATGAATATTGAACTTCTCTTCTTCTTTCTCTCTTTTCTCTTCTCTCAAAGCCCTAGCATACTTCTTAATTTCATAAACTGAACTAACTCAGTTTAGACCCCACATAACTTACTAAAAAACAATAATTTAATTGGGTAGTTAAAAGACCCTTATACCCTTCCAAAATCTGGTTTAGACTTTCCTATTTTGAACAGCCCAACTTCAAATGGGCATATCTCACTCATACAAACTTGGAATCGTGCAAACTCGGCGGCGTTAGAAACTTAATTCCAAGATATTTCCTACGGTATCTAGAATTACACCTAACTCATCCTGAGCTAGGAGTTATGGTCGTTTGAAGTTGACCCAAAACTCAAACTTAACATAACTTAACAAATTTCCAGATTTTTCCTTCTTTTCTAAAATGACTATTTCCAATTCTAACTTCTTTATATTTCTTTCAAATAGCGAGATGTTACAATATCTCCCCCTTGGGAACAATCTCCCTCGAATGAGATTACTCTTACAAGGATAAGGGTGTAACATCTAACATTTAGCTCACACACCCAACAAGTAAATCTAACACATCAAGTATATAAATTAAAGAGTACTAAGAAGAGTATTAGTACCTTGGTCTGGAATTTCTCCGGGATCAAAGAGATGTGGATATCTCTTATTCATATCTTCCTCAGCTTCCCAAGTAGCTTCCCCAACAAACTGGGTCCTCCAAAGAACTTTTACTGATGCTACTTCCTTGGTCCTCAATTCTTAGTCACAGTCACTAGACCTTTTTCTAAGAGCGGATGTCAATTTTTTTTTTAGTTCTTGGTCATAGTCGCTGAATTGTTTTCAATTTTTTTCAGTTCTTGGTTGCAGTCGCAGGACTGCTTTGTGATTGGACTAATTACGTCACCTTAGTTGAACTATTTTGTATTGTTGGTTTTGTACATAGGTTGGTTCTCACAAGAGGGAACTAGTGTTGTCAAAAACAAAAAAATTAATAGTTCTGGTCTATATTTGGTTTATATATGTTTGTAGAAGTTAATAGGTATGGACTATATTGTAGAGAAAAAAGACTATATATGTGTGTAGAAGTTAATAGGGAAGAAATGCGACATTTAATCCAGGATAAAGGGACAAATATAGACTGAATGTTGTCAATTATAAATAATTTTGAGTTTTTCTATTAGTTAAGTTTGTTTGGTTTTGTTAGGTTAAGCTAGCTAGTTTGAGTGTTAGAGCAACATATTTCTTTTATTGAAACAAAATTTAGCCTTTTGTTAGTGTTACTTACAATCTTAGCTTTGGGAAGTCTTAATTTTGATATGTGTGCTAATATACTTAAATAGAATATAACTTTTTCATTTTGGCTGTAATAGTCATCAAATCCCCATGCTAGCATGTTTTATAGGAAAGTACTATATCATAGCTTTAAATTACCTTTACCTCACCTCAAAGCCTTCATATGAATGGTAGATTCAAACATGCAAAATGACATTTCCATCATATAGTATGATAACTAGCGAATGCAATTAGCATTCCCAAAGTCATCTTATAAGGGTATCTTCACTGAAATCACTTCGTTTGGTTTGTCTATTTCTCCATGGTTTAGCATGAATTTTGGTTTGTCAATTTCGCAATAGAAAAACTTTACTTTTGGTTTGTCGATTTCGGCAGATATGTTTGAGTAAAACTATGAGTTTTCTTGCAGAAAACAACAATAATGAAGATTACCAGGTTGATTAGATTGTATCATACTAAAATGATGCTCAAAATTGTTGTCGATTCTCTCTTTAAAAGCATAGTGATTATACTTTAGTTTTGCAGGAACTGTTGTGTATATATCCTTCTATTGATCTCTTTTTATGCAGATATTTCTGAGCCATTGTTGATTCAAATATTGCTGACCCATTGTTAGCTGAAGTTGATAAAATTTATACCTTGCTTGTTCTGCTTCCCCTATTTTTACGGCATAATAATATTGCTAAGTTTAAGATATTGCAAAAGTGTCCTACTAATATTGCAAAAGATATTGAAACTGGCTCAACTGGTGATTTGTCAGTAAAAATGTCAACTTTGAATCAAGAATACAATATAGTCACTGATGGTATCCTAACAATTTATCATATTTGTAGGTATAACGGTTCATTCCATAATCAGGAAGTGGCTATTAAGGTTCTCAAGTGGGAGTGCCTAAATAAAGATGTGCAAAGAGATTTTGCTCAAGAAATTTATATATTTAGGTGACTAAATCTTGATGTTTTTGCTTCGAACGACAACATTATGTCCTCTTTGGTTGCTGCAATTGTGTGTGTCTAAGAATTTTGTGCTTTACTTGACCTTTTTCGAGTACTTACAGGGTTGTCAATTCCTTCGGATCATAACGTTCTATTCTACACAGCTTCCTGGTCCAAACTATCACTGTCGTGAGGTAAAAGCTATTTTGATTTAATGGTTTTTTTAACTTATTTTGTTCTGCTGTTTGTTAGCTATGCCTCAGCTTACTTAATATCTTTTTTGGCAAAACCTGAACTAACTTTTTTTCCGTGCAAATTACTAGGGTTCAAAGCTTGCCACACTTCCTCCTCCTGACAACATTTTACAAGCACTATTGTAAAAGTTTGAATACATTATATTTGATTTTGTGAAATATATTCATTGCTAGAATATATTGAACTATTCTATAAGTACTTTTTGAACTATTGTGTACACATATTTAGAATATTGCTCTATAAGTATGTGTATGTACACAAGACATAGTATCTTTTGAAGTTAATTGCAAATCTATATATTTGAATTACTTGTTAGCTAATTAATGCTTGAGATTATTTATTGTAAAATAATATTGGTGTTTTATAATTAGAAATTGTGGCATATAAATATTTTACAGCCGAAATAATATTACCACACTTAAAAGTGTAGCCAAAGGATTGTAAATTGTTGTATGCACATGGGCAAGGACTACACTTCAAAGTGTTGGCATACATAAGATATAAAAGGCAATATTTTAAAATCCTGGGCAATAAGGAAGCAAAGGCCATGCTTCAAAGTGTAGTTGTATGAGATAGAAATGTTGTTATATGAGGTACTGCAAAGCGTGGCCTTTTTGCGTTTTAAGATACGCTTAAAAGTGTAGGTGATAAGACAACATTTGAAAAGTATCGCGTAAACTCTAAGGTTACGCTTCTTTCGGCCACCCCTGGAAAAGCGTGGCTTAAAGTAAAACAGTGTGGCCTTTTATCAAAGGCCAAACTTTTTCATAGTTTAGGCCACACTTTTCTAGGGTGGTTGTAGACATAAACTGTTGTAGTGGAAGGAACATGATACTAAGATTGAATTTACACGTGAGTAACTGAAATACTGGAGAGGAACTATTACGTCAAGTTGGAATGGAATCGGAAGGAAAGAGATGAGGATACTTGGCCTTCATGGCTGCTTCTGCTTCCCAAATAGCTCCCTCTACGGACTGACTCCTCCATAAAATCTTAATTGAAGCGACTTCTTTGTTTCTCAACCTTCGAACCTGATGATCAAGAATCTCAACTGGAACATCCTCATAAGTGAGACTATCCTTCACAACCACACTTTCCAATGGTACTATAGATGTTGGATCCCCCACACAGTTCTTCAACAATGAAATGTGAAAGAACGAATGCACCATTGCTAGTTCTAGTGGAAACTCTAACTCATAAGCCACTTTACCAACTCTTTTCAAGATCCTGTAAGGGCCTTCATATCTAGGACTGAGCTTCCCTTTCTTGCCAAATCTCATCACCCCCTTCATAGGTGTCACTTTAAGGAAAATCCAATCATCAATTTGGAACTCCAAGTCCCTTCTCCTTACATCTGCATACTTCTGGCGACTCTGGGTTGTCTTAAGTCTATCTTTGATGAGCTGAACTTTTTCCATAGGATCATTAACCGAATCTCGCCCTATCAAGGCGGCTTCACCTACTTCAAACCAGCTAACTGGAGATCTACACCTACGTCCATATAATGTCTCATAAGGGGCGATCTGGATGTTGGAGTGGTAGCTATTATCATAGGCGAACTCTATAAGAGGAAGGTGATCATCCCAACTACCCTTGAAATCGATCACGCAAACTCTTAACATGTCCTAGGTCTGAATGGTATGCTCTGTCTGACCATCCTTCTAGGGATGAAATGTTGTGCTGAGATTAACCTGGGTACCAAGACCTTTTTTAACTGACTTCCAGAAATGAGAGGTAAACTGAGGATCTCTATCTGAGATGATAGACAAAGGAAACCCATGCAACCTGACTATCTCCTTAATGTAAAGCTTGGCGTAGTCCTCCGCCAAATCCATAGTCTTAACCACCAAAAGGTGAGCAAACTTAGTAACTCTGTCAACTAACACCCAAATGGAGTCATGCTGTCTGTGAGTACGAAGTAAACCTGTAATGAAGTCCATGTTTATCACTCCCACTTCCATGTAGGAATGTTGATCTCTTGAGTCATACCTCCTAGTGTCTGATGTTCTACCTTCATATGCTGACAATTAGGGACTTAGCCACAAAATCTGCTATATAACTTTTCATGCCATTCCACCAAAAGACTTCCCGCAGATCACGGTACTTCTTAGTGGCACCTGGATGAATAGAATACCTGGAGTTGTGGGCTTCTGTAAAGATCTGTTGTCTCAACTCACCCACCTTAGGAACACATAAACGACCCTGATATCAAAGCACACCATCTCCCCCTTGGGAGAAAACCTCAACTCTTTGTTGATGAACTGCACCCTTTAGTTGAAACAATATAGGATCACTGTCTTGTTTTTCCTTAACCTCCGCTACCAATGAAGATTCTGACCCATTCTGAACTGTCACACCACCATTTGATATGCTCATAAGGTAAACTCCTAAGCGAGCAAGCCGATGAGCATCTTTCGATAGTTCTTTCCTTTCTTCCTCAAAATGTGAGACACTACCCATAGATAGTCTGCTAAGGGCATCTGCTACTACATTGGCCTCACTAGAATGGTAAAGCACATTCATATCATAGTCCTTGAGGAACTTAAGCCATCTTCTCTGGCGAAGATTCAACTCTTTCTGGGTGAACACATACACTGAAGACTCTTATGATCTGTGAACACATCAACATGAACACCATACAAGTAATGTCTCCAAATCTTTAGGGAAAATACCACTGCTGCAAGCTCAAGGTCAAGAGTCGGATAGTTCTTATGATGCACCTTAAGTTGTCTAGAAGCATAAGCTATAACCTTACCTTGTTGCATCAACACACAACTTAGGCCGACTCTGGACGCATCACAATAGATCATATAATCATCTGAACCCTCTAGTAGAGTCAAAACAGGAGCTGTAGTCAACCTAGTTTTCAATTCTGAGAAGCTCTTCTGACAATCATCTGACCATTAAAACTTAACCTTTTTCTGAGCCAACTTAGTCAATGGAGAAGCTATGGATGAAAGTCCTTCCATGAACCTTCAGTAATAAACTGCCAAACCCAAGTAACATCTGATATTTGTAGGAGAGGTAGGTTTGGGCCATTGTTTCACTGCCTCTATTTTCTGAGAATCCACTCATATCCTTTTGCTAGACACAGTATGCCCAAGGAAAGCGACAAATTGTAACCAAAACTCACATTTACCAAATTTAGCGAATAACTGGCGATCCTTAAGAGTTTGTAGTACAACCCTCAAATGAGTCACATGTTCTTCCTCATTCCTAGAAGCTCTTCTGACAATCATCTGACCATTAAAACTTAACCTTTTTCTGAGCCAACTTAGTCAATGGAGAAGCTATGGATGAAAGTCCTTCCATGAACCTTCAGTAATAAACTGCCAAACCCAAGTAACATCTGATATTTGTAGGAGAGGTAGGTTTGGGCCATTGTTTCACTGCCTCTATTTTCTGAGAATCCACTCATATCCTTTTGCTAGACACAGTATGCCCAAGGAAAGCGACAAATTGTAACCAAAACTCACATTTACCAAATTTAGCGAATAACTGGCGATCCTTAAGAGTTTGTAGTACAACCCTCAAATGAGTCACATGTTCTTCCTCATTCCTAGAGTAAATAAGGATATCATCAATAAAGACGATAACGAACAAGTCTAAATACGGCTTGAATACCCAGTTCATCAAATCCATAAAAGTTGTAGGATCATTGGTTAGTCCAAATGACATAACTACAAATTCATAATGACCATACCGAGTTCTGAAGGTTGTTTTTGGAATGTCACTATATCTGACTCTAAGTTGATGGTAACCGGATCTTGAGGTCTATCTTCAAAAAATGACTAGCACCCTAAAGTTGGTCGAACAAGTCATCAATCCTGGGGATAGGGAATTTATTCTTGATTGTGAACTTGTTCAACTACCGATAGTCAATGCACATTCTGAGAGAACCGTCTTTCTTTTTCACGAACAACACTAGTGCACCCCATGGGAAATACCGGGTCTGATGAATCCCTTATCTTGAAGATCTTTTAACTGCTCTTTCAATTCCTTAAGCTCAGCTGGAGCCATTCTGCAAGGAGGAATAGAAGAAGACTGGGTATCTAGAAGTAGATCAATTTAGAAGTTGATTTCCCTTTTGGGAGGAACTTCGGAAGTCATTTACTACTGGAACTGACTCAAGAGTTAGGGTTTCGGAGCTTGAATCCTTAACCTGAACTACATGATAGAGATACCCCTTAGAGATCATCTTTCTGCCTTAAGGTAAGAAATAAATAAAGCCAGAGGCACTGAGCTACTACCCTTCCATTCTAAGATTAGCTCGTCTGTAAACTAAATATGAATGATCCTAGTTCTACAATCGACTTAGGAATAACAGAAATGCAACAAATCCATTCCTACAATGATATCAAAGTCTACCATTTCTAACTCTACAAGATCTGTTGAGGTGACTTTCTAAGAGATTGTGACAGGGCAATTTTTGTATACTCATCTAGCTATAACTAGGTCACCAACTGGAGTAGAGATTGAAAAGGGTTCTCAGAGAGTTTCTGGACTGACACCGAAGTTTACTGCTATATAGAGAGTTACAAAGGAAAGAGTATCCCCTGGATCTAACAAAGCATAAACATCTAAATGAAAGACTTGCAACGTACCAGTAACCAGATCAGGAGAATCTTCCTGATCCTAGAGAGCCTAGACACCATACAACATGTTCTGGCGCTGACCGCCACCTGTACCAGATGAGTTATCCTGCTGAGTCAGGCGACCTGCTAGTGTTGCTGACATTGTAGACTATGCCCTACCATTATTACCTCCCTGTCCCTATTTAGAATAGGGCAATCCCTCAATCTGTGACCAGTCTGACCACACCCAAAACATCTATCATTTCCTCCAAGACACTCGCCCAGATGATTCTTACCACACTTTGGACAAGTTGGGTATGTTAGGGTAACTGAAACACTCCCCTGACACTTCGATCCTGATTCCCTATCTTTCTGATCTTGTCGAAACCTGGAGGATAGAGCACTACTTGATGAAGGTGCTGGGGCTGAAGAATTGTGCTGAAACTATGAGTGATTTCCACCATCCAATTTCTGCTAAGAGTGTTCATAGTTGCATGTCCTAGCCTTTTTGTTGTCCTTAGCCTGTTCCCTAAGCTTATCTCACTCAACATGCTGAGCATGAGTGATGAGCCTAGATATGTTCATATTTTCCAGAAACATAGCATTCCTGCACTCTGTTTTC